TTATATGTTAACATATGTAATTTTATAATAAAGTAATTTAAATGTGATTTTAAACTTATATAGTATTATGTACATGGTTTAATCAGTGGCCATTACTAAAAACTATAAAAGTAAGCACAGTAGAATTTCATGTTAAATGTCACACATATTTCCTCTCATTAGAATGAAAAATTTGTCAGTTGTTGTTTGTCCAGAACTTCTCGGAATTAAAGCTTCACTTATCCCTTCCTGCATTTAATCCTGTGTTGATAATTCTAGTAAGAATCAGCTTAGATCAGGTATGTAATGGATGTCCAATGGAACCAGACCTGTTTGTAGTTCTACACAAAAGGTGTGAGTACACTAGATGATCTTCATCAGCATCTACATTTGCAGATGGGAGGAAGAACCATGATTTTTAGGGTGCTTCTAACAAATAAATCTATTATTTACTATGAAGCAGATTATGAACCAACTTTCTTGACTTTAAACACGTGAGGTATTTTTCAGTAACTTTATTTTTCACTGTGTTGCAATACTGTAGTTTTGATTAATAAAAACAAAGCAAACAGAACCCCCCCCAAAAAAGCTACACCAAGAAAATATGCTCAACAAAGCAAATCCAGTGTAGAGCCTGCTAGTATTTCACCCTTGTCCATGCTGATGTTTCGTTCATTGGACAGCTGATGAGTTGTGAAAATGATTAATCAATGGTGTTTTAGTAGTCTTTTTGAAGGCTGTTCAAGAAAGAAGGGAAGTTCTATGACATGCATCACAAAAAAGAGAAAAATATGTCTTTTAGGTGATTCTTTGTTTCCAAAGTTACTAAAATTTTACAGTACTCAATATTTAACTCTGCCAGACTTAAATATGTTTTTGTACCCTGAAATGTGTTACTGAGTTTAAATGTGTTTCTGCACAGAAACTACAGTTTCCTACAGTAGATTGCTAAACTCAGTACTATAATTGTGGTTCAAAAACTGTGATGTCACAAACTGATGTAATATATTCTTACTTGCTTATAAAAAAGTTTTCCTCTGTAGATTCTAGCAATGCAGCTTCACAGCATAAAAATAATAAAATCAACACAAGATAGAAATATTTGTTGTCTTGTTCAGTAGCATTTATGATACTGGGTAAATTTTCTTCTTTTTATTACAAGTAACTTATTTTAGCTAAGTAGTAGAGATAAGTTATTCAAGGAACTACAAGCTAGAGGACACAGTACATCTACGAAATTGCTGTTGATCACTTAATGTGTTTGTGGGCTGTGTGAAATACAGATATATTACCCTGACTGACAAGAAGAATGAGCTGCAAGTATTTTCTGATTAGGAATTTCCATGTGTGGTATATGAGCATCTCATTTTTCTTTTGGTGTTTCCTAATTCATCATCATCACCATAATTACATTTTCACGCCAATAAAATTGTCCATAAAAGAACCTTTATAGAAAAAAACCCCTGTTTTCAGCCTGGACTTAATTTAAAATAGTAGGTCCCTTAAGAATAAAAATAAAATCCTGGGCTGACTTGTGGAGTTCTGCTCTCATTTAAGACCAGATCCTCAATCTGATATTCAGCTTAGTTGTAACTGCTAGTGATTGAACACTGAATTGCTACCAGGTAACAGGTATGGTAGAAGCTGTGTTCGAAGCCTAATTCAGAAGTGGCCCCAAAAGCTACCCTGGTGATTTTTTCTTCCCCCCATCTTTTGTCATGCATATATTATAATTTGTCTTGAATTCTAGTTTCACTGCAAGGTGAAGGATTTGCCTCAGACCAGTGTGTGAAAGATGATTCAAACTAGAATTTGGCTCAAGGTTCAGAGGGGGAAAGGCCAGTTCAGGACAGGTTTGTAATGAGCTCTATATTTTAGGCAGATGAAGACAAACACAGATTAAACTGATCCTTCTTGCATCTTTAGAGATTTCTTTCTCTTTCTAAAGATGATTGAATGGTTAAAACTGAAGACTGAGTTCATACAATCTAATTCTTTGGTTGTGTATTTGATGTGTTACTCGTGTAAGATTTGTCAGTCTTTCAGAAATGTAAGGCAGTGTGGAAGGTGATGTTGATGGTGGGAGAGATAAAAGAATTAGCCCCAGCTCTTTTACAAGTATGTCAGAGCCTGCCCCCTCTGTTGAACAATTTCCTCCTAACATTTCTTGCAGTTAAAACTCCAGTTCAGCCCATGTAATTGGGTGGACAGTAGCTTATATTTGGTGTTTCTTTTTAGCAACATTTGTCTAACACTGGCTGTGTGAGCACTGGCCTCAGCCCCACTGTGGGAGCTACACAAATAGCTAAAACAAATAGCTGTGAGAAACTTCTGAGAAAATTACAACTGGAGTGGAGGTAAAAAAATTACTACAAGTAATAGTTTGGGAAAACACAGGGACTGGAAAATCTAATGTAAGATGAAAGAAGCATGAAAAAAACCAAGTATTTCCTGCTTCCATTGGCACCCAGAGTGATCGAAATAGCTTCGTTTTGTTTTAAAATAATATATATTTATTTTAGGATAGAAATTACCTTTTTGACAAGAAGTGGAAGCAAACATGAGGAATAAATTTCTGTCAGATAAGTGTTTTGTTTTTATTCCTGGAGATTTGGGACTAGCTTTATAATTCTCCAGTGATTGCTTTGCAAGCTGCTTGGAAGGAAACAAGGTAGTTGAAAGCTAAATCGTAAACTGTTTTGAAAGAGGAAAGGAGCTTAACTTTCCTGTAGAGAAATATGCAAGCCAAAATTAGGTAGTAGAGAGGGAAGGATGGAATTGAAAACCAGAATTTTAGATTGGTTGATAGAATGGAGCAATGAGAGCTGCAGGGAGGGGTACATGCTAGCACAAGTGCATGGCATAATTACCAGGTTAGATTAAACATTTGGAATAAGTAGTTTCTGTATGTTTTCTTGTATTACAAATATGCGTCTGATTTTTCTTCTCAGCTAATACAGCTCATGTGACATAGGATTTTAAAAAGCCTGCAGTTTAAGCATTACATAGATATACATAATTCTGAAATAGTTATTTCAATGAATATACAAAGCATAAGTATGGATTTAGAACTCTAACACCTGAATATCTCCCTTTGTGGCTTTTGTTGTCTGGCATAAAAGAATGATTCATGAATTCCCTCTTCTCATTGTCGTTTGTGAATGACAGAGAAGACAGTTCTTTGCTGTGGTTCTTAGCTGCTGTGTATTTGATGAAATTAATTGGCTAAGGCAAATCTTTTTCCTGAGCTGTAACTTATCTTTGCTTACCTGTGGGGAGAGAGGTCAATGTTTATGATCAAACAGGAGGTTTTGACACCACATAAACAGAAGTTGGTAGTCTTCTGTTACAGCTGTGTTTTCAATAGCTACTGCAGAGTTGGCTGTTAAGAGAGCTGAAGATAAGATCAAAAGTCATCAGTTCAAAGTTCAGAAGAGATCATTAATTTCAAGGACAGAAACAGCTGAATTTGTTAGCCACTGCTTTTTGCCAGAAGCACTTCACTTGTACTGACAATTAATCTTGCATCACAAGTGAAGTAGATAAGGCCAGTTAGTGAGTGCCATGTTTCCTATCTGAGTCTATATAACTTGTTTGGCATGGCTGCCCACTGAAAATATAAAGCTGCTTTTCTAGCATATATTTTTATTAAACAAAATGATAAGTTTTGTAAATGTTTAGGTTTTTGAATTCAAGCAACTGTTCAGTACTGAAATATTTTTTTACATAATTTTGTATGCATTCCACTTTCCTTTAGAATATGACAATTTTCTAATGAGGGTTTGAATGAGTTCAACCAACTTTTAGGATCAGTCAGACTTCTTTAGAAGCTAAGTATAAAATCTCATTAAGTTCTCTCTGCCTCCTGCCTGTGTTTCAGACAGAGGCTGAAGCTTCTAGTGCTTCTAATATGTTAAAAGTGAAGAATTAATTTTTTCCTCTTTTTTGTTTGAATTTGAGTTTGTATTTTTGCCTATGCTTGTAGAAAAACAAATGAAGAATTTTTACTCCCCATGAGTTTGGAAAATGTGATTGAATTGAACCTGGATTTAGAAGACAATAATAGCCTGTTGTTCTTGTCAATAGACCTAGTTCTGAATATTGTGTTGCTATCATGTGTAAGTCTGAAGCAATGATATTCAATGCATTTATTACATACAAAATTTTAAAAATTTTCATTATTTTGCAGTTGTCTGTCAGAGTTGTATGGCTTTTTTTTCCACTGCTTTTTTCACTGCTGCAAGTGTGTATTTTTAATTGGAGGTAAACCTTGAAATGGTCATATAAAAAATGGCACAATATGTATAATCTTAAGTAGGACAAACCTTTTTTTATGTAGGATGAATATTTTTTCCCAGTTGAAAAATCTGTCTGCATATGGTTCTCAACAGAAGAAATTTCTACTATATAGGTAAAATGATGCATTTTCAGTTTCATGTAGGTTCTCAGTACTGTAAGACTAATTACTTGCTTATTTTATTTATTTCATCTTTTAGTATTACCTTAGGTCTTTTAGCATATGTATCTAAATCTTACTTGCACAAGCAAGTTTTAAAGCTCCATCTGATGAATTGAGGGCAAAAGGAAATAGCAATCCTCCCAAATTTCCTAAGCAATTCTCAAAACTAAATTCACTTAAGAGAGGAGAAGGTGAGCTTGGCTGTTCACAGAAACTTTATATGTGTTTTTAAAGAAGCAGTGCTGTCATTTGTGCTGAGAATTTCTGAAAGAATACCATCATCTCTTCAGACTGATGAACAGCAGTAGATAAAACAGTCATGTGCTTAATGGGGTACAGTTTAAATAGAGAATATCTAATGGGAAGTAGTTACATTAGTAGCAGATGGATTTACTTTCTGAATCTTGATCTGAGTAGAAATCCTTGCATACTTAAAATTTGTCTTCCAGATTCTTAGCCTGATAAGAAAGGTGGATAAAGCAATTCCTTTTTTTTTAACTTGGCTTCAGCTGCTGTGGTGATGTGTTTTATTTAGACTTGCTATTGTTTGATTTTTATCTAGGCTATTTTTATGATTCCTACAAATCCCCCTCCAACCTTCCGGAAGCCAGAGCTCTGGTCGGATGAATTCACAGATTTTGTGAAGAAATGCTTAGTGAAAAATCCTGAACAAAGAGCTACAGCAACCCAGCTGCTACAGGTCAGTATTTAAGTTACTGAGGAAAAGCACATTTTATGTTTGGGGTTTGTTTTTTTTCCTCAAACCCAAAATGTTGTGAAAATTTGTAAGGGAAAATCTTATTTTAGCTATTATTATGTCTTATTTATTTTTCACTTTATAGTCTTTGTGGTATTTTCTCTATCAGCTCCTGTATCTCTGCCCCCATTTTATTTTTGTTCCTGCTGCTTCTAAAAATTCACTGCTCATTGAATAGTTTAGGGCTGGTTCTTGCTATTAAAATTGGATCCATGCTTTGTGGTTAGAGGCCCTCAATAGATCTCAGGATTTAGACAAGTGTTTAGTAAAAGAGTTGGGCCCAGGTTACCCTTCTGTGTGGATCATGCATGGGGTATATTCAAGTCTTTCCTTCTGTTCATGTCAAATGAAGCAGGCAGGTGGCTCTGTGTCCTAGAAAGGTCTGATTGGGATGGGCAGTATAATGAGTTTGTTCTTGGGCTGAGTTCAACCAAGTGGGCACTTTCCTATGTGAGCCACAGTTGGCAGTGTGAACCTTTGGAGCAAGGCAGGGTATGCCAGGCTTTTGCTTCCCGTATTACTCTCCTGCTAGATTTATTCTAGCAATAGCTAGCAATTCCAGGAGCTAGCAATAGCAGCTGTTAAATTTTAAGTTCCAGTGAACTCCACTACGAGGAGAATATGAATTTTGCGAAGTTGGTAATAGATCCATCATATTTATAGATCGTGCTATGAATATTTAATTTTATACATTGCAAAACACTAAAATGTAGACCACAAAGTAGGTTAAAAAACGAAAGTTCTAAGTGTCTGTGATGTATGAACCAGTACTTGAGACCTCCAAGATTTGAAGTTTGTATGGTTAGCTGAATACAGACAGCTGGATAGAAGAGACTTGCATTAATGTGGGCAAGTAAGGAGAAACAAACAAGAAGCTTCAGCGTGCAGTTTCTTTCCCATGCTTATTGAGAAAACCAAATACTGTGTTTGTTCATCAGGAGTCTGTGTTGTCTTTTTCCCTAGCTGGAATTTGGAGAATATGTGATGGAGCTGGAGGTGTTGTGAAGATGTTGGAGTAGAAATGAAAGTACTGTTTGTCAAGTGAGGTCATGGAATGAAAAAGAGAGTAATTGAATTAATATATCAAGGAAGAAGATAGTTAGTAGGCGTAGGGAATGAGGCTTCATCAGTTCGGTTCTTCATGGAACAGATTTTAAATACTTATTAATATTTTTCCTGAGGTGCTTAGTTACATTTTTGCCTAAATTGTACTTGCATATGATGATGCAAAAATCAGGGTTTTTTTCTAACAGCAGGTGTTTATTCGGCAGAAAAATGTGCAAATGGTATCATGCATGTTGTCTTAAATGAAGAAGTAATGTTTTAAATGACCTTGAATTAAAAACTAAACTTCCTGCTAAAAGTAAAAGTTGTTTTACTGGTTCCATGTTTCAGCATCATAGATCAAGAAATTATTGTATGATATTTAAAGCATAGGTTTGTTGAAGTTAGCAGCCACAGATGATCTGGTTAGAGACACTAATCTGTGCTCTCAATTTTTTAAGCTTTATTAAATTACAAAACCAAATACCTGAAAAAGTTTGGTTTTCTATGTCAGATCATCACCACTCTATTTACAACTTACTGCACAATTTCTTTGGAAAATTGTGTTTTCACTCATAAAGCAGATACTAAGTGATTACATTTCCCAAGGCTTGCAGCTGTTAAAAATAGTTAAAGTAATATTTTAGTTATGAAGCAGCTGAAAGACACTGTATGTTGTGTTGGTGTAGATTTTGTGTTATGTACAGTAATGTATATCACTGAAATCTGTGATGTTGAATAGGACTTGTAATTAAATATGAGGCACAACTGCTGTAATGATATTACATATTTTAATGATTTTTTTTTTCTCTAGCATACATTTATTAAGAATGCTAAGCCAGTTTCAATTTTAAGGGACCTGATCACCGAAGCTATGGAGATAAAAGCAAAGCGACATGAAGAACAGCAGAGAGAACTAGAAGAGGAGGAAGAAAATTCGGTGTGTACCCATTTTTCCTGTAACCATCTATACTTTGCAGATAAATTGCTATTTTCTCCTGCTTCCTGTAGTTTTGTTAAAATAATTTTTTTTACCGGTTTTCTGTCTGGTTTTAAGTCTATGAATTCTGAGTATTCCACTCTTAATTATGAGTAATGCTGTAAATGCCAGCCTTCAGCACTATTCCATGAAATGTCTTAGTAAACAGCTTTTCTAGGAAGTGGGAAAAGAAACCATCTTCAGCTATTCAGAACAACATTAAAACCCCCAAAATTGTTTAAGGTTCTACTTTCACTGGTGGACTTCTAGACAAGTGGTTGAGTTTTTTTTTAGTTCAGGGCATTTTGCTTGGTATTTGTTTGATTTTTTTTTGGTTAAGTCCAATACACAGAATAATTAATGACGACACTCAGTAAGCAGTGATTGCAGTGAGGTTTGAACCAAGTAACATGAAAATGGTGATTGCACTTCATTCTTCACATGACATTGTCAGAATATGTTTGAGGAGAGAAGCAGGTTGTGTGATATGTAGGTTGCATTTAGAATTGTTTGGCAGTGTTAAGAATAAGTCTGTGTTCCTGGCATTATTACTCTTCCCTACATAATTTATTTCAGGTTAGTCTTGTGCAATGCAGCAGAACATGCTTCAGAGAAGTGTATTGCCACATATAATTCTGTGCAATCTTTTTTATCTCCAGCAATCAGTGAGGTTGGCTGCATTTTTTTTTTCTGTTCTAAGAGTGTGTTCTAAGAATATCAAGAATATCTTGTTTTTATAAAGGTGGTTTACTCTGAATTGTATTTGCTTAGTTAGTAATAAAAAAGGCGGGGAAGGCTGGTACTATTTTTTTTATATTAGGAAATCTTCCTCTGTGTGACTTGACATGCAGAGTTGATGTTTGACTTACTGAATAGTTGATTTTTGAAGAGACTGATTTATTACTGACAAAAATCTGATATCTTTATTAGCTTGCTTTCATCTGTACTGTTGCCTTCTGGAGATGTTAAGTGCTTGGACAATGTTGATGTCTTTTTCACTAACCCAAAATTAGGCATGACATCTGATTACTTAGTCTGAGGTTCAGATCACATTGCCGGGCACAGTCCATGCCAGCTAAGGATGTGGTGTACACTTCCCACTCCCACTACTGTATGTAAGGGTGTAACACAAGTTTGGTTCACCTCAGCTGAGGCAGCATTTAGGAACTCCTCATGGTTCTTACACGGGTACAGAAGTCAGAGTGTGACACTGCACTCCCTACTCTGCCGCCCCTCACACTCCTTCCCTCCATACTTCCCCCCATTTAGTGTTCAGCGTAAGAGAACCTCAAATCCAGGACTGGGGCAGCAATCTTTTACTTGTGTTACCATTGTAGTAGTTGGGAATTCTGCCTTGAGCTCTTGTGGTGCCATAAGGGAACCAGCTACAGTAAAAAACATACAGCAAGAGTCTGCTTGTCACTAGGTATAGAAGATAGGTGCCTCAAATCTGAGAGTCACAGGAGTATCTGGTTAATGGGGCTGAGAAAACAGAATCACAGGGTGGTTGAGATTGACAGGTACCTGCAGAGGTCATGTTGCCCAACCCCCCTATGTAAGCAGGGCCACTGAGGTTTGGCTGCCCAGGATCATGTCCAGACAGCTTTTGAATATGTCCAAGGAAGGAAACTCCACAACCTCTCTGTGTAGCTCATTCCAATGCTCGGTCACCCTCATAATACAAAAAGTGCTTCCTGATGTTCCCAGGAAATCTCTTTCATTTCATTATTTGCCCATTGCCTCTGCTCCTGTCACTTAGTACTACTGAAAAAAGCCTGAATTCATCCTCTTTGCACTTCCCCTTCAGATATTTACACATACTGATAAGGTCCCCTATGAGCTTTGTGTTCTTGAGGCTGAGCAGTTCCAGCTCTCAGCCTTTATTCATGGGAGAGATGCTCCAGTCCCTTGATCATCTTTGTGGCCCTTTGTTAACTCTCTCTGGTGTGTTCATGTCTATTATACTGAGGAGCCCAGAAGTGGACCCAGCACTCCAGGTGTGGCCTGAGCAGTGCAGAGCAGAAGGAAAGGATTGCTCACCTCCCTGCACCTCCTGGCAACTTTGTCTAATAGAGTTCCTAATTTGTCTAACCAGCCGCTTGTGTTAAAAGGTTGGTTTGCTCTTAAAAATGAGTTCTATTGTAGTATATGGAAATACTAAGTCTGTCATATTTTTACTTATACTAGTAGAATTTATGGGGCTATAAAACATATACCAGTGCATGAGCATCAACAAACCCAGAACCAGAAGTCAACCTCTGCTTGAAGAAATTGCTCTTCAATATAAGGCAGAAGGTCAGGGCAGTTGGCAGCTCAGCATTTGCATACCTTGCTCAATGTTTTTTGTTATCATGATTTTTATTTTTCACTGCAGATGCTGACTTCCAGGCTGTAATTGTTTAAGTAATATTAATAAATAATACCAAATTATTTTAAAGGGGCTGGTAAGAAACGTGCAAGAATATCTTGTAAATCCTCTTGTAAGAGGATGTCCAAGTGTTTTTGCTGTAAAGTTTATACTGAAGAATTGAACATTTTCAGAAGTTTTCCATTATAAAAAGATCAAGTAAAAGAAGATTTTTGTAGCTAGTATAAAAAATAATTTTATGAATTTTTTATGGTATTGGTATTTTTTTAGTTTCCTAAATTTTCACACAGTTTTATGATTCAAGAAAATAATCTGTGATAAGATTTTTAGTTAGGATTAAATATTTAACAATTGTTGAAACTGGTGGGATTTGATAGTAAGTGTGACTTTTGCTATCAGTAAATGTATATATATCTAATAATTTTGTATTGCTTGGTAAGCCGTGAATGAAAAAAGTTTTGAAATACTTAAGCTTTAATAGAAAAAGTGAGGGTACAAGTGATTGAAATGAAGAATGATGGTGAGGAGGGATTTCTTTGTTGATAAAAACAGTTCTTGGAGTGACCTATGAATATCTTTTGTGTGTCACAATGCAGAACAAATTTTGTTCTGGACTGGTTTTAATAATTGTTTGGTTATAACACAGACTTCTTATGTCTTGCAACAGTTTCAGTCCAGTACATCATTGTAAAAAATTCCAGATTCATTTGAGAGACAGCACCAGAATCTTGTCAAATTGCTGTCACCAAAGGTTCTGGTCAGCCACAAGTGCAAACTCATCTAAACTAGGAAACAGCAGCATAAACTTGTACCAGTGCCTAGGGAGGCCTACATGAAAGCTGGAGAAGGACTTTTTCCAAGGGCATGTAGTATAGGGGTGATGGCTTTTAACTGAAAGAAGGTAGATTGAGATTAGATATTAGGAGAAATTCTTTGTGGAGAGGGTGTGTAACACTAGAATAGGCTGCCCAGAGAAGCTGTGGATGCCCTATTCCTAAAGTGCCATAGGTCAGGTTGGATGGGACTTTGAGCAATCAGATCTAGGTAAAGGGGTCCCTGCCCTTGGTACGGAAGTTGGAACTAGATGGTCTTTATGGTCCCTTCCAATTCAAAACATTCTGTGATTCTCTGAAACGGTTACAATTTTCTTTTCAATTAAAGACATTGTCTGTAAGGTGTTTCTTGAATGCAGGTTGCTCGTATACTGCATAGTAAACTTCTGAACGACATGCTAAGTGTAAGTGAAGCCTGAATTAAGTGGCATTCTGATTTTAGTTTTTTAAGCATACTGGGTAGAGGTTAATCAACGGACCCACAAGTTTTTAGAGGAAACCAGGATAAAAATCTGGAGGAATAAAATGAAAGCGTTACAATATCTGTGTTTGTCATTTTAGAAAAAGAAATAATCCCCCAACCCCACACTTCACTTCAAAATAATGTATAATTTGACATTGTATAATAAGCTCAAACGTTGTGCCTTTCATTCAATTTGGAACTTCTTTGTGGAACTGCCAGAAAAAGAGTAAATCAATTCTTTCTGCACTTCTGAGTACTTACTATTTTCTTTTTGTAAAGGGAAAGCTGATAATATGAGTGCTAGTTTGGTATAGTTGGTATAGAGTTTGCTAGTGGATGAAGTCAGCAGTCCAGCATTCAGGAATAAAGATAAATAACCCTTGCACATCCCTCCTCCTTATGTATCAGTTTCACAGAACCCTTTAAGAAATATAGGGCTGCTTGTGTGTAGTTTGCATGACTACATGATTCTGTAGTGCAAATGATAATACAGGTCTTGATGTCTGAATCTGCACTGATGGCAACAGCCATCAGTGTCTGCACTGTTGGCAACAGCCCTAGAAAGAGCTAATGGCAGTCCCTGTGTTGCCTTATGTAGTAGTAGTGACAGTGAGTAATGTGTATATTTCTTCATATTTTAATATCTATAAATGTTTTTAGGTTGTGTGCAGAATTGGAGTCACTGTTCAGTTGCAAAGTAATAGCCAGCTGGCACTTCAATTTTGAAAAATAACACATCAGAAATGGAGTTTTTCTTAATCATACTGCTGTAAAGTCCTCAGTGTAGAAATGCAAAAACAGACTCAAACTTTGAGAAATGCATATTTAACAACATCTAAAAGCAAGAGCAAATGCTTGTGCTAGTGTTAAGTAGAATCTGTTGATGTTAAAAGTCTCTCATGGACAGTGAAATGGGTCCATATATTATTGAAAATGGATGGTTTCAGTTAACCTGTCGGGTGCTTGAATTTGTTGATCTAACCCCCCCAAGCATTTCCTATGTAAATTGTGAGCAGTTCACTAGTATGTGATTTGAGACCCATCAAGAAGAAAGGTGTAAAATGTTCTAATTGTGAAGTTTCTTATGTTAGGGAACCCATTTAATGCTAACAGTAGCATTTAATATGTTTTTGTGCTTTAATACCTTCTTAAAGTCTGTATAGCTGTGGGTACTCAAGTTAAAAGTGACTTGCATAACTGGAAGTAGAACGGAATGCGTGGATTTGGAGAAATAATCAGATGCAAAGTCTTCACAATTTTGTACTTTATTTTCAGGGTCAGTTCAGGTAGTTGTCCT